TGACATTTGTTGGTTGCCTCGGGGTATGGTTATGGCCGTCAACGGTTATCATCTCAGAAATTGTCCAAACCTTCATCTTAGCAGATTTCTGTTACTACTTACTATTATGTCAAAAGGTTAGTAGTATAATTCTAAATTTAGTACTTTTGTTTTTTTTTACTTGTTTCTGCATTCCTATTTTTTATAGCTTTTTTCTTGGCGCAACACATAAATCGCGAACCTAGCTTCAGTCAATGAGACATAAACCACATCACAGTGGGAAATCGGATTCCAATAGAATAATGTAGGAAATCGGATTCCAATAGAATAAAACGTGAAAATAGTGAAACAAATAGTTGGAGTTTTTGAATTCATGTGGTTTTTAAATGCGGTTTTCATCAAATTGATGGGTAAAGACACAAATTGGCATTGTTTAGGGTGACAAAAAGATTGGAAAAAACTAGTCATTTTGTCTTGATTTGTAGGAATATTCAGTGAGTTGAAGCATATTCATTTGTTAGATATTCACGCAGCTACATGATTCCAACACTTATTAGTTAATGCACATAACAATTAACGTCATTGCACTAATAACATTTTGTAGTGAGCACTAGTTAAACACTTAATCCCAAAGGGTTGTTATCCTTATCCTTATCCTTTTTCTTAAGTAGACAAAGACCCATGAGTTCAGCCAACTCCCGAGTAGTGGATGAAAAGGTTTTGATGTCTGTTCAGAGTCGCGAGAGAAATTGTATGGGGCCCAAAAACCCTTCAAGAGGAAAGTTTCTGGCTTCTATTGGAGCACATGAGATTTTCAGCCCGGAGGTAATAATTAATTACAAATTTCAGTTATTATTTTCTGGACAAGATTCTTTCTTGGTTTCATATTTTCAACATTATTAATTTCTTCGTAAATAATACTGTAGTCCCATATAGTAAATTTCCTCAACAATAATAATCTTGAAATTACGATTGTGACACACAGAACTATGCATTGTTAGGATGGGAACTGGTCAAGTTAAGTAGAACAATCTTCAGATTTCAAGCAAGTCACAACAGAAGACCTCATTGTAGAACATTCATCATTAGAATTTTTGTTATATATATTTATATATATCATTCTATTTTAATAATAAAAAGAAAGTCATGCCTAAGAAATATGACTTATGACTTTAGTGTGCTTCTTTAAAAGCTTTGGGTTCGAATAACTTGTGTCAAGTCTATAACACTAACTTCAAAAAAAGTGCCCACAAGTGAAATGTGGTATTGTTTCCCTTAGGTTAATCGGTCCTAATGCCGAATACCAAGCTTTAGAAAAAATAGAGCATTTGGGTTCGATATCTAGTTTAATGAAATAGTTAGATATTGCTTATTTCTTAGCTAAACTCTGAATTATTACGATTTCTTCTCCTAAAATTTAGTGGGTTAAAAAGGAAGAGTTAAATATGAAAATGTTTCTGTGGTCCTCCTAAATATTTCAAATTTTATTTTTAATCTTTCAAAATATTTCTTTTAAAGAATGATCCTTCTAAAATTTTTTATCCACACTTTTGGTCCCTCTTGCAACTTAGCGACGGTTTTTACAACTTAGATACATAATTAGTCACGATTTTAAGGACGGATTATTACTTAGCGACAGTTTTAACGATAATTTTAGTATTATGGATTAAAAGTGTGAATGAAAAATTTTAGAAGGATCAATTTTTGAAGAAAATATTGAGAGACTAAAGAAGAAATTTAAGATATTTGGGTGGATCACAAACATATTTAACCAAAAAACATTGCTATGTATTGACAAGTATGTTAAAAAAATTATTTTTTCCATTACTATTTATATATAAGAAGTATGTTAAAAAATTATTTTTTTCAATGCTATGTGAATCAATTTCACACATAAAATTTTCTCTATTTTCCCCCTTCTATTCAACCAAAATTGTTTAATTTCCTATCACTAACTAGGTATATAAAATAATAACAATCCATTTTTTCTTCATTTATAGACATGGAAAGCAGCTTTAACAGAATTAGTGGCAACTGCCTCACTAATGTTCACCTTGTCTACCACCATTATTGCATGCTTGGACTCACACGAAGTTGATCCTAAGCTTAGTGTCCCCTTTGCAGTCTTCGTCATCGTCTTCTTATTCTTAATTGTCACAGTTCCTCTATCTGGTGGCCACATGAGCCCTGTTTTCACATTAATAGCTACTCTAAAAGGTGTTATCACTCTTTCTCGTGCACTCCTTTATGTCTTAGCACAATGCATTGGCTCAATAATCGGTTTTTATATTCTCAAATGTGTGATGGATCCAAGACTAGTAAAGACATATTCATTGGGAGGTTGTGCTATTGGTGGCAAAGGACTCAATTCTAGTATCAATCAGTGTGAAGCTTTGATATTGGAATTCTCTTGCACATTTTTAGTACTTTTTTTGGGTGTTACATTGGCTTTTGACAAAAAAAGGTCAAAGAATTTGGGCTTGCCGATGGTATGTTTGGTGATAGCTGGGGCCATGGCATTGGCAGTATTTATGTCCATAACTGTAACTGGACGGGCCAGTTATGCTGGTGTTGGGCTTAACCCAGCAAGATGCTTAGGTGCTGCATTGGTTCATGGAGGTTCACTATGGAATGGGCTTTGGGTTTTTTGGGTTGGGCCTATTTTGGCCTGTTTGATCTATTATAGCGTCTCTATCAACCTACCAAAAGACAGTTTGGTTTTGATGGAAGGAGAAAATGATGTCTTAAAGTTGCCTCTTGGTTCTAGTGCGACAATACCTAAGGGTGACATTTCAAAGGAGACTTTTTATTCCACCTCTCATATATCTCAAAACACTTGATTTATTTGGATTATATAATTCCAATGCTTGTGTTGCATAATCCGAACAAATGAAGTGTTTTGAGAAAAGTTGGAGGATAGATTAACTATCTGTTTTAAACTATATCACAATAGAAGAAAGTGAAGCTGATTTTCAAGTTATGTGTGAAAAGGGATGATAAACTTTGTGACTTTGTTGTCATGCTTCTTAACAACTACCACTCACTAATAATAGTTTGGTTAAGGGAAAGGAAACTATTCTCACTTTTTCTCTTGTATTATTAGAAATGACTAGAATATATGGTTCAATTATTACTTAGGACTTATATTATTGTGTTTTGGCTTTTTATTTAAAAAACTATTTAAAAAACTATTTAAAAACTATTATTTTGATTCTTTCAATTTTAAAATAAGAACATAAACGTGAGGAATATAATTTTAAAAATTTTAGCAGTTAAAAAAAACAAGCCAGCCAATAAGAAATTTCTGTTTAATTTTTTATAGAACAAATTTATAAAACATTTCTGAAAAGTTATGATTTTTCTTAAAACTATTTTTAAAAGTCATATACTGATTGTGCAATTTTAAATTGAAGAGCATAAACTTGAGAAAAAAGAATTAAGAAAAAAAATTGTAAACAGTTTCAAAAATTAAGGTAGCCAGACAATTTTTTTATTTAATTTGCTAAAAGACTATTAAACAATTGATATTGTTCTGGGCCAACCGCGCACAATTGCAAAATAAGAAGTTGCCACGAGAAAATATTTTTTTTTTCCTTCACGTCGTAAAGTATTTATCAAGTAAATTCAATCTCCCAAGATCAATTCAATAGTTGGTCGGTTCTCACGTGTATTAGGTTACTAACCATTTTTTTATCTGAAAATAAAAGTGCACCACTTTTTAAAAATTTGAATAATTTTCATTTAAATTTTACTTTTTATTTTCTTATTAATTTGAGTAATTTTTCTTATTAACTATGTACTGATTTTGCATCTAATAGGTGCTGCTTTGAAAGATCGTTTGGCCACTTTGTTAGAGTCTTAGTGGATTTGGATTTGAACTCTGATATTTGTTATAAAGTCTTAGTTGAAAGTTATAAAGTCTTAGTTGAAAGACTAGGTTTTGCGTTCTTTGTTGATCTCGAATATGAAAACCTTTCGGAGTTCTGTAAACACTGCAATAGTATTGGTCACTCTTTGGAAAATTGTAAACATCGTGGAGACGAAGGCGAAACTGGTGCACAGAAACAGAAAGCAGTAGAAGAAGCAGATAATGGTAAGCCACATAATTCTAAGAAACACATCTATGTTCAGGTGCCTATTAATAAGCCAACCATTATTAAGCAGGTAGATCTGTCTCAGATTCATACTGCTGTAGAGAATAGCCATGACAAAGACAAACAGAACCAAGTGAACATTGGTGGATCTATGGGTATTCTGGAAGTCGATAATACAGTGGATGACGTTGTTATGGTTGATGACACAGATAAAACATTGGCTTTGGTCAGTGAGGCGGAAAACAAATTTGCAGATGCAGAATGTATTGGCAATACTCAAAGGAATTCACTTGAAGAAGTCCCTGAAACTAATCCAGAGCTACAACAGGATCTGATGTTCCTCAATGCTTCTTGGAATAACATGGTCCACCAGGAGATGGTAAAGCAAGGCATTGGTGATAATGGTTTGAACTCCTTGGGGGTAGACGACGATGGCTTTGTGAAAGTGAAGTCTAAATCCAAGAAAATGATGCAGAAAAACAATGCTTTGAGAGATAATTACAAGACAAGGTCTAGGCCTGGTAGTGCGTCTAATACTCCATGAATTGTTTATTTTGGAATGGGAGAGACTTAGCCAACTCTCCAACAAAATTGGCGCTAAAAAGGTTAGTTTTGAATTACAAACCTCAGTTCGTTTTTATTGCGAAACCGTGGATGGATAAGGATCACTTCTCTATGTCCTGGCTCCGTAGGTTAAATCTCAAGTTCTTCGCTGTAAATAGTAGGGAATCTTTGCTTCCAAACCTTTGGTGTTTATGTGATTCTAGCATCAATCCAAATGTGATTCACATAGATGACCAACAAGTATCTTTTTCTGCGTTGGTTAATGGCATTTCTATTGGTATCTTGGCCGTTTATGCATCTACCAGCTACATAACTCGCAGAAATCTGTGGAGCTCTCTGCAGAATATTCTTCACACTTATCAAATGCCTTGGAGTTTCATAGGTGATTTCAACACTATACTTGGTGCTCATGAGTATGATGGTTCTTTTAGGCCTGTGAGAGGCCCGATGGAGGAGTTTGCTGACTGGACAGATTATAACCATTTGGTCCATATGCCTATTGTTGGTGTTAAGTTTACTTGGGCTAATGGTAGAGAGGGTAGGCGGCATACTCGTAAACGGCTGGATCGAGTTATTTGCAATCAGGATTAGGTTAGTCTGTATGCTCAATCTTTCTGCTCCACTCTTAACAAATCTCAGTCTGATCATTACCCCATTTTATTACACTTTAACTTTCAAGAGTTCAAGTTCAAATCTCACTTTCGTTTTATGCAAATGTGGACATCGCATCCTGACTGCATTAAAGTGGTGGAAGATGCTTGGAAAACTAATTTTGTTGGTTGTCCGATGTTCGTTCTGGCAGCAAAGTTAAAATTTCTCAAGGAGAAGCTTAAGGTGTGGAACAAAGAGTGTTTTGGAAATGTGCAAGACAATGTCAAGATGGCTGAGTTAGCTCTGGAAAATATTCAGCATCATATTGACACAGACGGCCATACCGATATTAATCAAAGAAAGATGGCTACGGTGGCTTGGAAAGTTTGTTGTCAGGACCGTAAGGATGGAGGGTTGGGTATTCGCTCTCTTCGTGTTCTTAACAAAGCAAATCATTTGGTTCAGTGCTGGTGTATTATGAATGAGATTGACACTTGGGCTTCGGTTGTAAAAGCTAGAGTTTTAAGGAAAGGCTCGGTGCGTAAATCACACGTTTTCTCGTCTGTTTGGACAGGTTGTGCTGAATTTTTGGAAGACTTACTGCAGAATTCTATGTGGATGATTGGAAAGGGCAATAAAATTAATTTATGGTGTGACAACTGGTGCGGCAGTCCCTTGAGTTCATCGCTTCATCTTTCGGAAGCTCAGATGGTGCTGCTGAAGGCTGATCTGAGCTCCATTTTAAGCGGCAATTCGTTTAACTTGCCGCCAGGGCTGATCAGTTTTTGTCCTGAGCTGCCACGGATGGTGGAAAATATTTATGTCAATTGTTTGAAGGAAGATTGGCTCGCTTGGTCCAGGTCTGACAGCGGCGATATCACTGTCAAGGATGCGTATTCTTACTGCAAGCATAGTGGAAATGCTTGTGTTTGGGGCAATTCCATTTGGCACTCAAACATCCCTCCTTCTCATTCTATTTTATTTTGGAGAGTTATAAATAATCGTGTTCCTACGGATGACGTGCTCCGGCATTGCGGTATGGCAGGCCCTTCTATTTGTAACCTCTGTTTACATACAGAAGAAAATATCAATCACCTATTCTTTCAATGTGACTATTCTCGAAGGATCTGGAATTGGTTGCGCGATATGCTTAATGTTAATGTTAGCTTTTCAGATATGCAAGATTGTTTCATTGCAATGCATAAAACTGGTGTTGCGCAATGTATGGTGGTGTACCGTGCTTCAATTATTGCTGTGGTTAATAACATTTGGCGGGCTCGAAATCAAGCTCAGTTTCAAAACAGGTTTATTCCTTGGAGAACTACATGTTCATCTATTTATGCTACTTCCCAGCTGGCTGGAAATTCTTTCAAAGGAGCATCTTCTATGGACATTGGGGATTTTCAAGTTCTGAAAAAGTTTTCTATTTCCATTAATCCGGTTAATCCCAAGATGTGTGTCGAAGTCATTTGGAATCCTCCCCCAAATGGTTGGATTAAAGTCAACATTGATGGAGCATCCGGCGGTGATCCAATAAACGCGGCTTGTGGGGGAATCTTTAGAGATCACTTCGGGAATCACATTGAAAGTTTTGCTTGTAATTTAGGCCCTGTTAATTCTCTGTTTGCTGAGCTGATGGGAGCTATTTTGGCTATTGAGCATGCTTTAGTTCGTGGTTGGTCAAATATTTGGCTAGAATCGGATTCAACTCTTGTTGTGATGGCGTTCAGTAAACCTTCTGTTGTACCCTGGAAGATCAGGAATAGATGGGACAACTGTACGGCTACCCTTGGTAATTGTAACTTTTTGGCTTCTCATATTTTCAGGGAAGGTAACCATTGTGCCGATAAATTGGCTAACATAGGTTTAAATATCTCTAACTTTACTTGGTGGAATGATGTACATCGGGATATAGAATCAGACTTTTGTAGAAACCGATTAGGTTTATCTAATTTTAGAATCAGATAGGTTTGAGGTTTAGGCTTTATGTCCCCCTCATTTTTGTACCTATTTTTCTTTTTCATTTAATATATCTTTGGGTTTTGACCCAATTTATATATAAAAAAAGTATTAAATTTGTAGGTTAATCTTCTCTCCACTGTATTAGAGACATTGAACCACCACAACAAATTACAAATTCATTATCTTTAATTATTATACAATTTCAGAGGAGTGAATTAGTTACTTTGTGAAAATTGACTTTTGATTCATACAATTTCGACAGTCCTATTGTATTATTATGTGTAGGATTATTCTTTATACATTAAATTAAAAATTTTAAAATATTTACTTGATTAAGTTGTGAATCTATCCTTGTTTATATCTTATCTATGAAGTGTAACTCTATAGTATGAATTAATTAATTTAATAAAAAATTTGATCGGAGGTTTAAATAGATCAAATTAATTGAACCTTAAATTAGAGGTCTTGCCAGTTTGATCTTAGGTTTGATTTTTTAAAACATTAACTCCAATAGAAGAAACCTTTGAAATAAATATTATTTTTTAAATAATAAATATTAATAAAAGTTTATTTGTTTTAGAGAATTAACAAGTGCTCGAGATTTTAGTTGTATATTTATATTATTTTGTGGTTAAGAGGTTAAAGAGGACAGAAGAAAAAGAAAAAAAAAGTATAATTTAAAAAAGTCTAATAATTCTTTTGTTAAAAATCGCTCCCTAGAATGGTTTAGGAGCAAGCTAGTAATGAGTCCTTGGATAAGTATTTGTACTCCAACTTGGTGAATATCGAGAATATTAATTTAGAAAGGAATCAAGTATATACATGTGTTGAATATCAAGACTCCCTACTTATATCAATGAGTGTTGCTTGTAATTGGAATGATAATCCATTCACTAAGGTAGGTCGCACCATAAATCCGACCTTGATGGAAAGGTTTAGTAGGAAGTCTAGAGTTCATAAACCTAGGCACGAAGAGTGTTCGTAGGTAGAGGGATGTTCTGTGAGGCTAGTTGTTTCCTCAAGTATACATGGTTCAAATTGAGAAAGTGCATTTATATTCACACGCTGTACGAGACATGTTAGGTCTCGATCCCTTTTTTTAATATTTTATTTGCAAGCGAGTGCTAAACCCTAGTAATACTAGAATAACATTAGAAATCCTTGACCAAAAGGACTTATGGTTTAGTAGGACCTTATTGAGATAATAATATCTCATCCTATGATGTTGATATAGTTTTTAAATGAGCGGGTTTCCTTAAAGGAAAAGGCAAGATGGTGTGAGGAGATTGAAGACTCTCTTTATATTATTTTGTTTTAATGTGTATTTTGATCTTAGTAGTTATTTCATACATGTTATATTATGTACGCACTTGTTGTAGATTGCATGTTTAACATATACTTATGTCATCTATGAAGTATTGCATGTATTTTAATACCGATATTAATATCATGAATGTGGTAATTTAATGACACTCGGTCATTACGTAATATTTGTGATAAATTTCAAACATTGGTGGAATTATGAGCAAAAACCAAACTAAAATGTGGAAGAAGTGAGCAAAAATAAACAAAAGGAAGAAAGTTCGTACTTAGAGAAAATTTGAAGAAAAAGGAAGAAAAGAAGTGATTTTGCCTCTATTTTTCTCACGACCACGATGCTCTCATCGTGAGCACGATAAATTCACGCCGCGATTACAATATATACCAATACGGTCCCTATTAAGTACTTCATCTGATAGGTGTCAGCTGCTATATTAAGGGATTTTTGCTACTTTTTTTTAGGATTCTGAATCCTAGAGAGAAAGCGAGGGCCAATGAACTTTTGTGGGCAACTTTGGAGAGCTTTGGAGCCATTGGGGAGCATATTTCCATTGATTTTGATGTATATCAATTCATGGTAATCGTCAATTTCACTATGAGTAGCTAAGTTATTCTAGATTAGGTCTTTTGAGATGAACCTAATTGTACTCTTTTGGATTATGTGATTGTTTGAGATCATTTGAATATTTTTATGTTATAACCATTATTTAATTATTCTTATGTTCATTTCTTTTTATGTATTGACGAGCATGCAAATTGATATTAGATGACTAGGGATTATTGATCGTAAGTCTACCAATCTGAACTTGGATAATTGTTCAACTTAGTAATTAACTAGAAATAGGTAATTATAAGTTGTGCCTTTTGAATTAACGAACTTAGAACACATGATTTAGCTCTGAACTGGCCTAAGAAATTAGGGGATTATTGTGTAAATTTGTGAGTAGTACACTAAAGAATTGGGTACAATGGGTTTGTTAATTCACTGTGATATTATAACGTAATTATTATTCATCTGATACACAATCATCAGCAAGTATAATTAGGGGATTCAATAAAAAAATCTAATTACTTTTTCGTATCGAACTTTACTCCGAATGTTTTTCTCATCTTTGTTTACATGCCAAATCATAATTGAAACCTCCTTGTTATTCATATTAAACTGCATTATTATTACATTATTTTAATTCGCAATGCCCGTGGAGACGAATTATTTTATTACCCCGACAAGACTAGTACACTTGCTATAATAGTCCATCATAATTCTAGAAAATATTATATTGAGGTTGACCAACTTGATACCTATTTATGTGATCAGAAGGATTTTGATTTATCCACAACGAGGACACGTAAGTTCGAGGGTAAAACACACTTATCACATATCAACTGACTAAGGTGTGGGAAGTGATAAGGTTAGTTAGGCACGAGAACAACATCATTTGAAAATGTTGCGACAACAATAATTTATGATGCGAATGGCTCAATAGATGCAAGGTAATCAATCACCATAACCTCGACCTCCGCAAAAAGGGATGATTGGTAAAAAAATCCGAGATTTATTCAACACGAACCGGTTTGAAATTGCAGGGAGAGATAATCCCTAGAGGGAGCAAGATTGTCTCACAAGGATGAAATAGAGCTTTCAGGAGATCCCTCATGGAATGGAGAAAAGTTTAGGTTATAGAGGGAGCAAGCAAAGTAGCAACGAATGGGCTTTGGTAGATTCAACCAAAATATGAAATCAAGAGTTTCCCCAGTAAGAGAAAAACAAAATCTAAATGCAAGGCTCGTTTTTCCGCTACAATGTAATACTTGTAAGAGACCTCACTTTGGAAGATGATATAAGGGAGTGTTGAAAAGTTATCATTGTCATGAATTAGGTTAGGTGATAAGAGATTGTCCTAAGTGGAAGAATCAAAGGAGACAACAAAGAAGATCTGGTAAAGCGGGTGGAGTTTACTCGATGAATGCAAGGAAAACTAATGGAAGCATAGATCTTATAATCGTTATGTGTCACACGTTTGATCAACTACTCTTAGTTCCATATGATGGTAGAACATCACACTTTCATATATCAACTAAGTGTGTAAGAGGTCTGTTTTGGAAAGAATTGTACTATTTCCCCAATGGTACTAATTGTGGATCTACGTGCTTATAGTTATAACGTTGATAATCCCGTAAAAGATACTCTCTAAAGTTTTAATGACGACAACATTTATTGATGTTTGAAGTCGAAGGAATAACTTTCAACTCGCTGATGATTGTGACTAAACTAGAAAAACATCTCAAGCCTCGTCAAGAAAATATACTCAAGATTAAAGTGCTTATATGATTGATTTACTTAGCAAAAGAATCTTGCAGCCTTAAAATAGTGAAAGAGAGGAAGTGTGAATGTCCGCCAATATGTGTGTATGAGTGACCAAAATTTTATAACAGTAAGGAAGTATCTCCACACACACACACACACAAACATATAAACAAACACACACACAAACACAAGCGCGCAAGTACATACACACACACACACGGGAACATGCACATGCGCACACAAACAAACACATGCGCGCACACACACACACACAAGCACAAGCGCGCAAGTACATACATACACACACACACACACACACACGGGAACATGCATGCACGCACACACACAGACAAATACACACACACACATGAGCACATATACACACATGCGCATGCGTGCACACACACACACACACACGCACAAACGCATGCACATGCATACATCCCCACATACACACACACAGACACAAACACACACACACGATTGCGCATACGCACACACACATACACTTGCATGTACACGCACACACATACAAACACACAAGAGATCGCATGTGTGCATACGCACACTCACCCACCCACACCCACACACATATGCACACACATTTACACACAAATGCACGCACATTTACACACACATACGTACACAAATGCACACACTCGTATGCATACGTGCACGTGTGACACACACACACACACATCCACACCCACCCCCTCAAACACACCCCCGCACACGCGTGTACATACACACACAAGAGGTGAACTTGCACACACACACATATACACACACACATACACACAAACACAATTGCACACGCGCGCACACACCCACACACATACACACATGCAAACAGAATACACACACACACATGCAAACAGAATACACACACACACACACACAGGCACACCACATGTCCATGCACAACATGCACACACACCCATAATCACACGCGCACACACACGTGTCCACACATAACACACATACACACTCACTCACACACACACACACACACGTGCACACACATATACATACTCACACTCACATGCGCACGCACACACACACACACACACGCTCCCCCTCCCTTTCCACACCCACACACCCATCCACAACTACAAACACATACACACACACACACACACACACACACACACACACACACTGACACAATACACACACATACATGCGCATACACACATACACGCACATACACACATACATAAACATGCACGAACGCATGTACACACACTCAAACACACACGTGCACGCGTGCTCAAATAAACACACAAACACACACACGCCCGCACACACACACACGCACACGCACACATAAATACACACACACATGCATGTACACACGCACACGCTGACACACACACAT